AACAAAGATCAGAGTGGAAAATAATGAAACAGAGACTAAAGAGACAACAGAAAGGATCAATGAAACTAAGAGCTGGGTTTGGGAAGTTAAACAAAATAGACAAAACTTTAGCTAGAATTATCTAGAAAAAAAAGTGGACTCGAATAAATAAAACTAGAAATGAAGAATTGCAAAACATGTCTCCAAAAGTTCTCACATTTTGATACAAAAGACAAAAGAACTGGCAGCAGAGGCCACACTTTCTAGATCTCAAAGGTGGCCATGGGGGCTCCACAGCTAGCTACGAAAACAATGCTGAGAGGAGAAGGAAGATCAGCTTCCTGGGTTGACAGCTGTTTTCCAAAATAGTAGGATCCTTGCAAGCAACGAGATCTCAAACAGCCTGACACAACTATGATTCAGGTTTGACAGATTTATCGCCTGACCAAGAGATCTTTAAACTGGATATCTGAGAAGAAAGGGGAAAAGAACCTATTTAATACTGCATGCGTTCCCAGGGGAAGTACGTGGACCACAGGGGTACCCCACCTTGGGACCACAGGTTGGGGCGGATGCAGAGCAGGGACAGGCACTTGGTGGCACTCTCGTCTTTCCTTTCTCACCTGCTACACCTGGTAAAAGATGTCATTTCCTTTTCCAGTGTGTGCTGTGAAGAGTGCTCAATTCAACTGGCCCATACTAATGGAACAGGAAGGCTTAGGATAGACTTCAAATTCCTCTAAACGACACAAAAGCCACCGTAACGCTTCCCCAGCGAGTCTGGGAAATACAATATTAAGAAGTACAAAAGCAGTGCTTCCCTTGCCAAGTCAAGATGGCAAGGACACTGTCCCGTACATCACTGGTTGGGGGCTGAACAGTGCTCTCAAGTGAAAATTCAAACAGGCATTAACATAAGGCAGTGCAATAAATTTAGAAGAACTACCTTTATAACGATAGGGTAGTCTATACCAAGAGAGCGCTAGACCTAAGTGTGACCTATCAAGTCCTGCTTAGAGAGACCTTCTCCTTAAACTGCATCTAAGCTATTCAAAAGAATAGTGTGCTGAAAGCTGATGAATGCAGCTGTCCACCAAACACCCAAATAAGCAGGTTAAGGTGAATGTGTCTAGCTACAAATGCATATAACTTAAGTAAATGTTCACTGTGACACAACCAGTAATTGAAAGTTTTGTTTTAAGAACAAACCTGATAAAAATCTCAACTACCAGACATTCCAACGCTCCAAATTATATTTTTATATTCTATCGTAATCTACCTGTCTCCTATAGTTCAGGAGAGCTATCTTAGCCCAGGCTTTATCATTTGACCTTCTCACTTCTCACTCCAGAGAAGGACCTGAATTCATTTTCAGTGGCCTGAATAGAGCTTGCAAGGCAGTCGTCCGAATGGGACAGAGAACAAGTTCCAGTAATCTGGCCTCATCTGAAGCAAAATAAAGCCACTCAGAAGGCAGGCACTGGGAACACAAAAATCACAGAAGGAAGATGGGGAAGAAGGCTCCCTTTCCCCCATCCTGCTAAGATGCACGGAAACAGCCCCAAGGGCAGCATTCTTACTGCTGCTGTCTCAGGAGCTACGAGGTAGCTGATACTAATAAGAGATACAAATACAGGAGTCCGCGGATGCTTTGCTTTCTTTACATTACAGCCAATTAAAGGTTATCGCTGTAATAACTGTAATTCCCCCTGGCAGTCCCATGGCTGACTGAGCGGGTGTGGAAGGGGCGGAATCAGAACTAGCAGGGATGATGGAGTAAAACTGCAGTGGGGGGAGCCTGCAGAGGAGGTGCCCTCGGGGGCTACGGTCACAGAGATCCCAGAAGAGCTTGGGAATTGTGGTTTTAGAGTCACTTCCATCTGTTTTTAAAAATTTGCCTCCAGATTCATATTGAAAGCATGGAGGGTGCATCACCATAGATTTTGCATCTATAATGCTATGAACTTTTCAGTAATAACGACAACAGTTACAGCAACTCGTCACAAGTGCGTATGATGTTGAGAAGGAAATGTACAATGCTGTATGTAAATAATATTTAAAATAAGAGGGGGAGGGTGTAGCTCAAGTGGTAGAGCACATGCTTAGTATGCATACGGTCCTGGGTTCAATTCCAGTACCTCCTTTAAAAATAAATAAACCTAATTACCTCCCCCCTTGCCAAAATTAAAAGAAGTAATACGATAATAAATAAACTATAAAAAAAATAAAAAAGCCTAGTCATCTGTATTGCTAATTTAATAATGCAGTTTACGTTGTTCTGTTTGCTTATCAGGAGTGAAAAAGAAAGAGGGAGCTCTGGCATGGCAGTACTGAGGAAAAGACTGTGTGTTTAATATACGAACAAAGCCATGTGGCTTATTGAAAAATGGCATTTCTTACTATATGATATCGCTTGTATGTGGAATCTAAAAAAAGACACAAAGGAACTTATCTACAAAACAGAAACAGACTCATAGACATAGAGAACAAATTTATGGTTACTAGGCGGTAAAGGGGGTGAGAAGGGATAAATTGGAAATTCGAAATTTGCACCTCCTGGAGAGTGATGGAAATGTTAGCTACCTTGATTGTGGTGGTAGTTTCATTGGCACATACACCTATCAAATTGTACATCTGAAATATGTATAGTTTACTGTACAGGAATCATATCACAATAAAGGTATTAAAAAACGGCATTCCTATTGAGTTCTATTGAGTTAAAAGCAATATATCATTAAAATCATAGGAAGTGATCATACAGCTGACTGCATTTGGTATTGGTAAGAGAACATCTTGAATTGTAGACTCAAATTTGGCCATCAGCTGTACAGAGGAATTAAAAACTTAGACTGTCCCCCTAGAGGAAGGGAACCAGGATGGTCAGAGGTCTGGAAATCATGCCATATGGGTTAGCAGTTTGGGGGAGAGGCAGGAATGAACAGAGAGTGCTTAGCCTGGAAAAGATAGGAAGGGTGGTCCTAACCAGAAGCCTTATTCCATGTAGCTCGAAGGCAAAGCTAAGTGAGTAAAAATCATAGCGGTTTCAACTAACAGCTTTCATCAAGCAAACAACCCACGTACACAAGCAGTGAGCTTCCCACCATGGGAGGCAATCAATCAGAGAACATGAATCTCTACTCAGTAGGAGGGGGGCCAGACGACCTTTAAGCTTCCTCCAAATTGAAAATTACGTGATTTTCTTGAACCTCAAATATACTAGTTATTTTTAGAACTGAAATATCACTGCTTAGTCAATAAATCAATTAAAAAACAAGTGCCCCAATCACTAGATTTTTCAGATCACAAACATCTGTTGTCTCCATTCGGGAAATGGAAAGAGGGCTACCCCTGCCCTGTTAACATACCATGCGGTGACCAAGAGTTTTTTAAATATTTCAGAGGCAAGGTAAGGAATGTCTGCGACAAATTACACATTCTTGTCCTCATCTCTTGAACAGTGACTGCACAGAACATTTCCAGTCCCATTTCACCCCTACCACTGGGCACCGAGTGCCTGAACACACAAAGACAAGGCCGCAGGTAAAACCCCAAAGACCCTGTCTCTGTGTTTCCTTTCATTTTAAGTCGATGAAACTGAATTTCATCCTTTCATGCACATTTCAAGGGACCCAGCACTCCACACATCACCTACTACACTTACAAAAGTCTTGCACAGTGAAAAGATTTGCAAAGCAAACAGTAAAACTTACTCAGCCACGTTCCATAAAACTAGAATTCTAATTTTAAGGCTGGAACTTCAGAAAGTCGTAGGAATAATGGTGACTGATGTGTGACCACAACAAACCCCCTGGATGCTGAGGCTGCAGTCACCTTGCATTGCTGCCACTTTTAGGTCTCAGAACTGACTCAGGTACCCAATCCGCCAGAATCTTCCCAACAACAACTACTGAAATGCACTGCCTGCTTATAACCTGCCAGGCACTCCATACACCAACAGCCCTTCTGTCAGCTCAAATAATTCCCCCCAAAAGGAGGGAATGCTATTATCACCATCCTAAGCAAAGTAAGGTGTTTTAAGCAAGCTGAGCAAGGACGATAAACAAGGTACAGCTGCCAGGCTCCAAAGCCCGCCCTCTCTCTTCCCCGTGTCCTGCTCAGTGTCTGCATTTCAACAACAGGACGAAACCTAAGGGCTATGCTAAGAGCCCTGACATCCCGATGGCAGTCTGGGGCAGACCTGTCTCCCCGAGCTGCCGCACGCTGCCACCGCTGCTGCTGCCGTGTCACTTGCAACTGTTCGCAAGCCAAGGGTGGCAGGAGAGGAAGGTGGAGATGATGACGACTTACTTTATCGACAACTAGTAAAAATGAATTAAAAGGGAAATAGTCCCTACCCAAGTGATAAAGTGTGACTGTGGGTCTGTTAAACTTTCGCTCTGGTCAGCATTTCTGAAAGCAATGAGTTCTGGAATTCTAGGAAAACTACTGGGTTTTGGACATAGGCTGACATAAAAGAAATTCTCTTGCAAGCTTCTATAAAAGTAAAAAATAGCAAAAATCCTTTGCAGAATCAGGAAATAACTTGTCAAAGAAATTCTACACGAATTTAGAAGCAACTCTAATTTACTCATTATCTACAGGCTACTTTATAGCACTGAAAACTGCAAAGTCCAGAATTTCTTGAATTTACGCTTGAGTCCCAAAATTGCGGTCAGAAGCACTCATGAGTTCAGAGGAAATTTATGAGAAAAGGGAAGGGACCCTTCAAAGCACACTTCCTCTCGCCGCCATCCACCCCTTCATATGCAGGGTGTCGCAGGCTTTGAGAGCTGGCACCAGAGCACAAACACCGGGTGAGGCCCAGGGCTGAGAGCCGGCCCTCCTTCTTGATCAGCACGCCCGCCCTGGCCTCCTGTCTCATTCTGTCCACAACACCTGCAATTCTAGCTGATGAGGGGGGGCAGGCACAGGATGCCTGAAGTGGACCTTCCTCCACTACACTCATACCTATAGTCTCATCCTGCAGAGCCGTCACTTGTCTGTGAGGCAGAAGCAGGGTAGGAGGAAGAAAGGGAATGAGATATGAGTTTAGGATCTACACCAAAGAAACCGGTCCTAAGGGGAAGGCGGACAAGTCTCCACCCAAGGAGCAGGTCTGGAAGTACAGTGGGCGGTCAGAGGCCTCCCAGTGAGAGTCAGAAAGGCAGGACTTATGCTTACCTGGCTGCCAAAGGACTCCTTCTTGGCCAAGCTCTGAGCCTGAGGGGGGCCCTGGGCAGGCGACAACCTCGAGGGGCTCTTCTTACTCTGAGGCAGCAGCGAGGACAGGAAGCCCACGCGCGGTGACTGGGAGAGGGACGCGTTCCTTTGGCTGCACACCATGGCCCTGGGCAAGCAGACACAGCACAACGTCACAGCGCTGCAGGGGACTGGGGGAATGCGGAGCACAGACCTCCTGGCCTATGGACGCCACCGTGACCAGGGCCTGAGCCGGGTTCGCACGCCGGGGTCTAAGGAGGCATGATGCTCGGTACCGTTCTTGTACAAGGGAGCCAGCAGCCTATCAAGCACAAGGGCAAGGGCCACGGTGAAGCTCAGAGCAGCGCCTCCAACAGCCACTGGCCACACGTGCACTGAGGACCTGAAATGTGGTTAGTCCAGGTGGAGACGTGCTGGAGGCGTAAAATACACACTGGAATTCAAGACTGAGCATGAAAGAGTGTCAACTAGCTCATGAATACTTTGTTTACATTCACTGCATGTTGAAATGATATTTTGGAAAAGAAGGGCTAAATAAAATATATCATGAAAATTAACTTTAAAAAAAAACACATAGCCACTAAAAATTTTTAAGTTTGATTTTTGGCATGCATATTATTTCCATCAGAGGGCGGCGGCTCAGAAACCAGAGAAGTTCAATCAGTGCAGTCCTTGGCCACATGTGGATTTGGAACCTGGGTTTGCATCCTGAGTCACTGATCACTCATGTGTGGCCTATGGTGTCTGCAGGGGGTCTCTTCAACTATTATTATCATTGCTTGGTCTTCTGCTTTAACTGGTTGTTTTCAAAGGTGGCTCAAATACCTCTCTCCCAATATGACTTCTCCAAACCCTGAGACTGGAGCATGCTTCCATGGCGGAATGCATCCAACCTGTGGTTCCCAATCTTGTCATCCATGAGGCGCTCCTTTCAATGCACAGAAATGTCCCAGGGCTTTATGACAGCAGCTGTGTTTTTCAACCCAGGCTGCATACATCTGCACGTGCAGGCCCCTGGCAGAGCAGTGCAGGCAGGCCCCGAAGCTGGGAGGTGGGGAACAGCTAGAGGACCAGGGTCCTTACTCCCAAAGCTCAGACCATTCCGAGTTGCCAGGAGAAGGGGAGCCACAGTGAGGTGCTCCCCAGGGGAGAGCACAGGGGACAGAGAGAAGAGGGGGTGCGGCACACACTCACAGTTCTGAGTCCCCCAGGCGGTCCATGTTGGAGACATAAGGGGGCAATTTGTGTTGGACCAAGGCCTCCTCCTCTTCTGGCTGTTGCTCTTCTTTCTTTAGTCGGTGGATTTCGGCTTGCAGTGCAAACAGCTACATGGGGTGGGGTAGGGTGTGAGTTAAACAGTGAGCTTGCCTAACCTTCCCTCCCCTTAGACACATCAAATCCAAAACCCAACCACACTGGCTCATCAGGGCACTGGTCCTCAGCATCGGGGTGCCCATCTCACTCTCCACAAACTGGAAAAATGGGTGAGGCGGTTGCTTCTTGATCACAGTGAGGTGAGAAAACTAAAAACCATTACGTATACAAAACCCTTTTTTTTCTTTTTATCGTTTGACTTGCTTCTTCCCAGATTCACTGAGAAAAACAGCTCCACCCAATCCTGCTTTGCTATTTGGAATCTACAAAATCGGCTATGGAACTCTAACAGAACATTTTTTTTCAATGAAGTTTAGCACTTTTGACCTTTTGCCTAAAGAAAATTATACACACACATCCCCAAACCCAAGAATCTTAAACCCCCAAACCTGAACAGCTTGCAATTTTCTTCTGAAAAATCTTTTTTCCCTTTTTCGTCCCACTCTGCATTCTTTTTGGTGGAGGAGGTGATTAGGTTTATTTGTTTACTTATTTTATTTTTTTTAATGGAGGTACTGGGGATTGAACCCAGGACTTCACGCATACTATGCATGTACTCTACCACTGAACTATATCATCCCCGCTAAATAGCCTCCTTTTTCTGAAGATATGTTCATTTCAAGGTCAGAGAAAAGCTCCTCCTCAGGCCAAATGTAGAGGCAAATGCGGGCTGGAGCGATCACCTTAGCAGACAAGAGAAACCTAGTTGAGCTGAGAAGAATTAAATCACATCTGGGCTGTAAACACCCAGATGAGAGGACAGGTGGAAAAGGTCCCAGGGTGGGAAGAAGATATCTGAAAGCAGGTTAGTTGTAAGGTGACATCAATGCATTGAGTCATTTTCCTCCTAAAAGTTCATTACCATCACCAGGGTGTGTATGCCACACAACTTACAACATGAACCCTGCCTCTGGTTTCCAGACTGTCACAGCCCCCAAGTCCCCAACACTGACTTTCTGGTCACCACCTCTGAGATCAGTGCTTTCTGATACTTGATCAGCCCTCCACTGCCACTACCCAATTTCACACACAAAAAGCAGAAGTTCTTCCTAAGGAGCAAGTATCGTTCGGAACAAACCTTCTGGCGCAGAACTTCATTTTCTTCTTGAACCTGGTTGGTCCTCTGGCATTCCGCATCAAAGTTCAGTATCACGGGAACTGGTGCTCCAAGTTAAAGAATAAACCTGCCTTTTAATTAACTTAACCATGGTGTGATCATGTCACAATGTATACATATACCAAATCATCAAGTTTTATAACTTAAATACATACAACTTTAAACTGTCATTTATATTCCAAAAAAGCTGGGAAAAACAGTGAATTGAAATATATATTCCACCAAAAACCCTGCAATAAAACAATTCAATAAACCTATTACAAAAATAATAAGCCTGCCTGCGAAACAGGTAAAAGCCCTTCCCAAACTCCTGACAACCACAGCAACACCCTTGAACACGAGACGGGGTAAAGACTGTGCTGTGTGCTCTTCACAGCTTTGCGAACAGTCCCTCCCTTGACACAAGGCCTGGCCCAACTTCGTTCAAACAGACTCACGGACACATGACAAACTGCCCGGTGAGCCCAAAGAGAGGACATAAAGCCAAACCTGACGTTTTCTCCCCAATACCAGCAGTAAGAGCCAGCATCCTACAGGCTTCACAGCCAGTTTAAGCTGTAGTGACACTCAGCTAAAAGCCAGCCCAGCAGCCAGTGGCTCTGCAGGCAGAGTGCCAACGCTCTACCAGTGGGGCAGAAGGACAGGCCACTTGGCTTTCCCTCCGCAGGCTGACCCTCCTGTGTGCAGAGGTTTAGACTGAGAAGCAAGCTTCCTGCAGACTGCCACCCCATGAGCATCCTCCTTCTGGGTCAGGGTGTCAGTCTGTCCCAACCACCTCAAACAGCTTCAGTCCAGAGGAGCACAAAGCAGGCAGGGCCTTCCCTAGAGACCCAGAGGGCCCATGGGTCATGCCATTACCAACTCCAGGCTAGTCCCCTGCTGATTTTGTTTCAAAGTCCTCAGTATAAAGAGCAGGGGGAGAAAAAAGGCAAACCTGGCAAAAGCGTAATTCATACGTCACCACAGCACAAAAGGAAAAGGCTCCCTTCCTACCCCCACCAAAGATGCTCCTCCCAGGGGCCAAAAAGGCGATGGTGGGAAGATCTCCACAACACCCAGTCCATCAGTTACTCACCAGGCAGCCCCTTTCAAACCCAAATCCCTGCTCCTCCCCTGGAATTCCTGCCTCAAGAGCATAAGCAAGGAGGATGTCCCACAAAACAGTAAATAAGGTAGGCTGTAAATTACTTACATCCTCTCTCTCTCTCTTAAATATCTACATATATTCCTAAAGTTGCTCTCCTTTTCTCTGACAAGTTGAGGGACACTGCAGTCCCTGGAAAGAGTGTGACCCAGACACTAATACAGGGAGGAAGTTCCAGCCCAAGAAGTGTTCTCACCTGCTACCTAATCCCAATAAAGGCAAGTGAAATCCTGGGGGGCATGGGCATGCAGAGAGGGTGCTCTGAAGGATGGCCAGTTTCACTGCAAAGCAGCTCTGTACTGGCCCCTGTGTTTGCTGAGAGAGACCCTCAGCCCTATTTGAGGGCTGCTCTCAGAGCCTAGCACCAGCCCCCCACTATTAGCCTTGTCCCTGCCCGTGCATGTCAACGACCACTTCAGCAGCAGAGGGTGTCAGAACGAATATTTATGATTCCTGGCCTACTGATCAAAATAACCACCATCTGTCTAGCCCCCTCACATAACACATGACAGTGACCCTTGGGCATTTTGTAGAAATGGTGGCATTAAAAGCAACAGCATAAAAAAGAATGAAATAATGCCATTTGCAGCAACATGGATGGGCCTAGAGATTGTCACACTAAGTGAAGTTAAGTCAGATAAAGAAAGACAAATATCACATGATATCACTTATATGTGAAATCTAAAAAAGACACAAGTGAACTTACTTACAAAAAAAAAAACAGACTCACAGATACAGAAAACAAACTTATGGTTACCCAGGGGGAAAGGCATGGGGAGACAGGGATAAATTAGGAGTTTGGGATTAGCAAATTAAACTACTATATGTAAAATATAAACAAGGTCCTACTGTATAGCACAGGGAATATTCAATATCTTGTAATAATCCATAATGAAAAAGAATATATGTACACATAACTGAATCACTATGCTGTACAACAGAAGGCTAATACAACATTGTAAATCAACTACAATTTTAAAAAAAAGGGAAAGAGCAGCGGCCCCTGATCACACAGTCTGGCTGCCTCAGACGGGGCAACCGAGAGGATATGCATGCACTGAAACAGGACGCTCAGGAAGTTGTGCAGGGACACGATGAAGGTGTCGGCCCACTGGCGAGAAAAGTAGGTGGCAAAGGTGGGGTTGGTGTCTGGGGACGGCAGGAAGGGCAGGACAAACCAATCCTTCCACTCGGCCTGGTTCTGGAGCTCTGTGGCCTGCTTCACAAAGAACTCCTGAGCCTTGTCATTTCTGTTTGTCTGTCAAGACACGGAGGAGGGAGCAAGGAAGGGGAAGAGACAGAAGTCCGGAGGTAAGATTCTTCACCACTGCACAGCAGAGAGCCTTTGCATATCAGCCTGCTACGGAAGTGGCCAAACATGATCCACAAACTTCATAAAATAAAGGCAATCATTCTTTTCTCAAGTTCCTTGTAACTTCAAAGAAGCTGGTTTAAACTAAAGTCTTGATGGTAAATGTCATCCTAGAAATTAATTCCTAGTTGATTTTCAAATAATCTAAGTGATTTACCTCCCCAAGTCAGCCATAATCTTTGTTTACTCAAACTTTAACTCAGCTACTTATATTCTTTAAAACACTGCCCGGGCTCACATGCTTAACACATGAGGGGAAACAGGAATAAGGAAGATAAGTCAGATGACCTACAGATGAGAAGGAAAAAAAACAGTAGGAAAAGAGTCAAAAATAATTTTCACTGTGACTGTTCCTCCCTTTCCCAGAGTAACACAGAGTTGTCCCTAGGCATTAAATCTATTTCTGGATCAAAGAACTCTCTTGGCCAAGAAATCCCTGAACCAAAAGCACCTGGATTGTGTAGACGAGATAAAAGCGGAACAGGCTGGTTTTCAGCTTGTTGATGGTGGGTCTATACATATCCTCCAAGCGGCTGAAGAGCCGACGCTCCAGGTAGCTCCAGTAATCCCGAAGGGCAGCCAAGTCATACACCTGCATCAACTGCTGCAGCTGGTCCACAATCTTGTCCACCTGGTGAGAGAAGGGTGGGACGGAGAAGGTGGTGAAGGACAGAATGGAATTCTCTCCTCACTCCACAGAGTTAATACAGCTTTTTCTTCTTGCTGTGGCTTCTGGATGTTAAAAAAAAAAAAAAAATAGTTTACATTAGCAATCTAGAAAACTTTCCAAACACAGTAATGTTATAGCTTTTAAGTTATTTTCTGATGTTAGATAATGTGTTCTGACCCTCTAGCAAGTGTGGAAATTTCAGGTGTAAAAGCCCAGGAAACAGGAGGTCTGGGTCCAGGTCCTGGATCTGCCTCTGACTTACTCAACCATCTTGGCAGTGTCACTTCAACTCTCTGGTCTCAGTTGCCTAAGATTTAAAAAACAGAAAAAAAAAAAAAAAAAAAAAAGAGGGTGAAACAATCTCCTAGTCCTCCTCCCAGCTTCTCTACTCCAGGATTCCAAGACTCATGGTGAATGTACTGTCTCCTTCAAGTTCTCAAAGCAGCACCAAAGCCCTGGCAGCTGCCCAGGGTGTCTGCCAAAGGAGCCACCTCCTTGTGAGGAGCAATCATACCAGAGTACACAAGATGGAAAAGCTTTTGGATATTGATACCACTACAACACCACTATTTTACAGATCAGAGCACTGAGGCCTGGAGAGCTGAAATGATTTGCTCTTGCCACAAAGAAGCCACTAACTTTGGACAGACAAGAACCCAGATCTCCTAACTCCCCTCCAGTGTTCTTGGTGCTAGTCCGCTGTCTCTCTCAGTTCACCTGCCAATACCAACTGAAAT